TTACCACTGTTACTGACTTGACCAACGCTCAATTTCTAGTCATTTATGCTACGTCAACCAATTTATTTGCTCAATTTTAGTTCTAATTTAAATGGCATTATTCTCTACGCCACTTCTACTTAGTCTCAACCTGCAGTTACCTCTGTTGCTACCCTGACCTAAGTTGAAACATTTTAGTCAATTATATTACGTCATCTTCAATTACTAACTCAATCTTACTTTAGTTGCTGCCTAATTAACCTTGTTTCTATATCTAAACTTGACAAACCTCATGTACACACACACAGATAATTATATATAAATGCGATTGTACAGCGATGTGAATGAATTCGCCGCTGAAAAGAGTCTCTTCGCTGAATATCTTCTCGAATATCAAATACCAAGTGTCGGTTTGCTGGGTATTTGACTGTTTACAGGTTCGAACACGAACTGGCATCCGTTAAAGGACCATCGAAAAACCAGGAAACACTGCACAACTGTTTCATGTGAGTTCAGGACTCTTCAGCAGTACGCACCCATCAAGATTCGAAGCCAAAACTTTCTGGTTACAAGCCGACCTCGTGGACCATTCATTCAACCACTGGGACGCGATGCAACAGTACACGAATTCAAGTCTCTGACAATTAGCGATATATACAGCGCAAAACACAAGTCATTACGTCAGGTTCCAGTGGCTGAATCGTCTACGAGCTTGCCTTGTAACCAGAAAGTCTTGGATTCGAACCCCGGTGACTGCTTACTACTGATGAGTCCCAAACTATGATAATACGGACAGCTATCTAATGAAAATCAATCAATCATAGACCAAAATTCTCGATCGATAACTTCAAAAATAGTGTGAAAAAAAACAATTTAAACAAATAATTATGAGCATACTTGACGTTTTGCCATAATTTTCAATGGTTCAGCGTTTGAACTTGACGCAAACTACAGAACATGAATAAAAAAAACAAGTAAGAGAGAAGGGGGAAATCAGAATTTTGATGCAAAAAAAGCAAACAAAAACCTGAGAGTACTGGACAGCCAGCTGTTTTGTCCTAGTTTCGGACTCTTTATCAGTATGCACCCACCCCACTGGAGTTCAAAACCAGGACCTTCTGGTTACGAGGAGAGCTCATAAACCATTAAGCGTACTGATAAAGCGTATCAAACTAAGACAATAGAAACAGCTGTCCAGTACTCCCTGTCTGCTTTTCCAATGATTCTCTAACCGATGTCAAGCTTATGATGAAATCCTGTAACCAATCAAATCAAACCATCTGTGTAAACCAATACTTGAATATTATAAACAAAAAAGTTGGTGAGGCGTCAGGAAGAATTAAACATAGAATAACATTACTGCTCTCAGGTGAACTTATCCACCCACCCACCCCCCAAACTATTGACAGTTTGACAAATTTATAAGCTCACTGTGACAATAAAAAGGTTGACAAGTCTGCCTGTTATGTTACCTCCAACTGTATGTACTATTTTGCATGTATGTGCCAAAGAAGGATTTAGTTAGTTTAAGCCACGTTGGGGGGTGTAGACTGTCTGACTGACAGGTTGGGGTCCTCGGGATGGTGAGAACCAAGGAAGGTTGGAGACAGTTGGCAGTGATATGGCTCCAAATCATTGTGGTCAATGGCTGGTGGAGATGCATCCACTCCTTGTGACTTATGATTTCCAATGAAACTATAATGTTCTTCCATATTACTATTCTTTTTGTCTCATATCTCTGTTGATTGTCTCTATTTTGCATTTCTTTTTACAATCTTCTCTTGTTTTGTGTGCCACATGGAGTGAAGAGTGGCAACTCAAACTGCTGCACATCGGTGCAAAGTTGTTCTACGCTGAAACCAGTCAGTTGGCCAGTCAAAGAAGGATTTATGATTGCATATCTAGGCATATTCCAAGAAACTTGCCTTTGAAAGGTTTGAAAGATCATAGTAGTAGTATTAATGCTATGGTTCACCTATTTGTTAGATAGCGATCGTGTGAAATCAATGCACTGAAATCAGATATAATAATAAAAGTTCAAGGCAGCTCCAGTTCGCTATACGTATCACTGAAGCAGTTGCGATTGAATGATTCAAACCGAATTTATACATCTGAAAGGAAGCCACTGTCAATCTTCCCTTCCCATGTTAAATATACTTAACGTTATTTAATTGTTTTTAAAGGTGAGAAAATGATTACTCAATGCAATATTGACGGCCTGCTTAACAACTGGACTACCAAAAGCTTCCATTTGTCTCTCTGTTGCATATATTTTCTCCCCTTCGGTTTGTTTTAATCGATTAAAATATCACCCCTACTGATGGTATTATCTACTCTTGTGTATATTTAAAATATTTACAAGAGAACCATTGAAAACCAGCCAACATGGAGTTTCATCCTAGTTTGGGAATCATTGGCAGTACGCACCCACTGCCAGGGTTCTAACCCAAGACCTTCCGGTTACAAGCAGGCAAGCTCGTATACCATTCAGCCACTGGGACCCGACTCCTCAATGGCCAATCCATGAATTCTAACTTCTACCAATTTGTGATTTAGCGCGACCACCAACCAATGTCATCGACGAGATAGCCATTCTCACACTTGACTGGATGGACCTCACTAGTCACGACTTCTCACCAGAACTCCAGGAAACTCCGTCCTGTAGCCAGTCACTAGCGAACGTCAGATTACTTATCAAGAGCTCGTTTACTGGACAGCTGTTTCATTCTAGTTTGGGATTCATTGGCAGTACGCACCCACTGGGGTTCGAACCCAGGATTTCTGTTTCGCAAGGTCCTACTAAACTCGGGAAAGTGCATGATTGGGGGTGGCAACGTGTTCCAATACAACATGAGATAACTGTTCTTCAGTTATGTATGTCCTTGGGTCTCAAAATCTACTTCTGAACATCTTACAAGGTTGGCTTTCACAGCTAGATATCGTGGATTTCTTGAAGGAAGGAGACAAAGCAGATATATCACATAATGGAATGGTTTGTCCTTCAGCTCAGAGAGAGCATTGTGTCACAGGAAGGATATACTGTCAATTAATTGATATTTTACTTGAAGATATTGTACAATAAGAGGAAATATCATGCAATAAACTCCTCTGAAAATACTGTACATTTTATAAATACTGTCCAGGATAAAGATGTTAATATTTTAAAAAATTAGAAATTGTGTGAGTGGACAAAAACTAGTGTAAAGACGATAAAGTGTTTTTCTATAAAATCTATATGAAAACGCAAGGATAATGAGAATATTAATGATAATAATAGTAAAATTACGTAATAAAAGGAAGCAAAATTATAGTAAGAACGTTATTCTGGCCACCGTAGAACGAGTGAATGGTATATAGTGCTTTTGAATGCAGAGGTCCGGAACAAGTAAACTGAAAAATACACACTGAGGTAGCCAAAAGTGGTATCTTATCCTTGTTCGTGTGTAGCAGGCGCAGAGTGTTGGGCAAAGAGGGAAAATCAATCGAAGAGGCTATAATGTTACATAGATTAAGATGGCTAGGTCACGTGCTATGCATGCCTAACCATCGCCTCTCCCGACGGACGGGCATTACTAGCTGATATAGGTGCAGGTTGGAAAAGAGTAAGTGGTGCCATGCCAAACAAAAACATGGCATCAATCCTTGAAATCCTTGACAGTTAAACTGAGTCAGGTAGGGAGATGCAGACTTCCGGGTTGGGGCCAGCCCTCTGGACTCTAAGAATCAATGGCTGGAGACAGACAATAGGCGACATGGCTCAAAATGATCGTTGTCAATGGCTTACGCAGATGTATTCAGTCTCTGTAATCTTTCATATCCCTTTCTACCATTACTCATTCTGTTTCACTCTTATACTTGTCAAAACTCTATTGATTCTCTTCACTCATTTTCTTGTCTACCTTTGTGTGCTATTTGGAACGTGGCAACTCGAACTGGTGCACTTCAGTGCTAAGTTCTATGTTGAATCCAGACAGACAGTTCGTGTGTAGTAAAGTCTATTAGCTGTACGCAATGTCAAGTCCACAAACGTGTTCTGAAACACTGTCCAGCTTGGCTAGCCAGTCAGGGGAGAAAAGAAAAATACCAGTAGCTCTACTCTCGAACGCCTTATCAACTCTGAACATTGAGCACACCCCACTCCAACCTCCTCCATCAATGCTACACAGTGATACACAGGGTCCCTCAATATCGTAAGAAAAGACTTTGAATACGTCATCTGCACATAACTGAATCATTGGCTATTCAGGATCTGAAACCAGACCTCTGGATTCAAAAGCACTACGTAGATTACCTCGCCCTACCGTGGCTGGAATAACGTTTTTATTATAATTTTGATTCATTTTAATATGTAAGTTTACAATTATTATTATTGTTATTCTCATTATCCTTATTTTATTATCACTCTATCACTGTTTATTAACAACATTGCGTTTTCATACAGATTTTATAAAAACACTTCATCGTCTTTGCATTAGTTTTTGTCCACTCTACACAACTGAGCATTGAATAGTCATTTTCTCACACTTATGGCGTCATCTCAACTTCTACCCCTTGTTTTCTAACCTCCCATTAGTCATCCCCTTCTACATTACACCTTACATTTAGTTGTTTTTATTAATGAATCAAAAATTCCATTCCTGGATGTCGAATTGACGAAAAGAGATGACGGAACTCTGAAAAGATCTATCCACAGAAAACCAACATGGAATGTCCAACTGATAAACTTCTACAGTTAGATACCTATCAGCCGTAAAAGAGACCTCATCATCCCACTAGCTCGCCGTACCAGAAGAATTTGTAGCGATGATTGTTTAGAAGAAGAGCTCTTATTTCTCAAAAGCATCCTGGTTCAAAATGGATACCCACCGCGTTTCATGGAGAAGAACATGAAACCAAAGCCAAAAAGGAGAAGAATACACTTCAGTGCCAAGGAAACACTTTATTTGAATCTGGAATTCAGGTGAGACCTCGAAGTAGATATTTTTAAAAGGAGAATCGCCAATTCCCTGAAGAAGACTTTTCTTGCAGCGGCTCTAAGAGTGATATTCTCTAGCAACCCACTACTTCAGAGCAACGTGAAGGTCACACTTCCGCATATGACCACTTCAATGTGCATATATCAGTCCACCTGCTCGTGAGGAGGTAGGTACATAGGTCATTCTATGAGGGTCTTATTAAAACGTGTTAGAGAACATCATCCAGCATGGCTGTAAAGAGGAGATACTGGTACAGTCAGAAGTGTCATAACTGAACACCTCGTCACAGCATCTCAACTGACTCATCATTCAGAGTCATTTGTTAAGTTTTGTTGTCTTAATTATATTTTCTTTTGACAATTTAACTCCTTCCCCTTAATTTTGTCTTTATCTGTATTCTTCACTAGACTACTTTTATGATCTCTCTTTCCACTAAGGTATATAATCCCGACATAATTGTGTTGCTGATTTCACGCCTCTATTCATTCATCGGTTTGCAATACTCATTTGTAACTACAGAATACTCCTTAATTATTTCTCTATACAGACAGGAATATGCTGGATCACCGATAAGAAGACTCTAGAAGATCTGGATTTCACTCGTGGATAATTTATGTTTAATGTCACACAAACTCGGGGACTTGTAGGTGAAAACTAACAAAGTGGCAGAAGGAGCTGGCAGTAAAGATAGGACTCCGGCTGAACATAGACAAGACAGAGGAGGTGAAGATAACCGACGAACCGCAACAACAACAACAACAGCCAGCACCAATCACCATCAACGGGAGAGATTTAACAGAGGTTACTTCCTTTAATTATCTGGCCGGGAAGCACGGTTTCAAACACAGGTCAGAGGAACGGATGGAGATGTCAAAACCAGACAGACAGACAGAATCGGAAAGGCAAGATACACCTTCATCACTCTGAAACCAGTTTGGAAATCTTCTGCACTAACTCAGCATAAAGAACAAGATTCGGATTCTGTTCAACACAAATGTGAAGTCAGTCAGTCACTTCTTCTAAATGGGTCAGAAACTTGCACTGCGCATACGTCACAAAGAGCATTTCTAACAGGCCACTGCAGACTTTTATCAACAACTGTCTTCACTGGCTCCATAGAGAAGATCAAATGGCCGGCCAGAATGAATTGCCAACAAGGAACTCTGGCTGGTAGCAAATCAACCAAGAACCGATTGCTCAACAAATGTATAGGAGAAAATGGAGATGGATAGGGCGCGCACTGAGGAGACCGTCGAATGACATCGCGCTCAATGCAGGCCTTCGCTCGAGTGGAACCCAAATGGGAAACAACGAGTGGACCGTCTGTCTGAGGGTGACGTGGAGGAGATGAGAGATTATGGGCAATCTTGGACCTAGCTAAAGAGGACACAGCATAAAATAGAACAAAGCGGAGATGTTTTGCTGAAGCCGTATGTTCCACTCGGAACCCAAGGGAATAATAATAATAATCTGATCGCATAACACTAGTATACTTCACCTTTATGATCTATAACTTTGCATATTTATATTAAGATTGTCGACTGTGGTTGTATGCAGCTGACGAGGACCAAATGAAATACAATAAGACGTCATGTTTTATCCTAATCAATACGTTCTTATTGCTCTGATAAAATAATTGGAATACACACAAAAATGGCCCTATACAAACTCACACGCACACGCACACATACAAACTCTGTCTATAACAAACTTACTTACTTGTTGTCTTAATGAGGACCCAGATAAATCACATGGGACTGGTGTAGTTAGCTAGAAATTCAAGTTGAAAAACAAAACAAAATAAAAGAAGGTTAAATAAATGCCTTGGAAAACTTTAAGCGATGAGTGGGTCGTCAGTGAGGAGGTGATATGGAGGAGATCGTGTGGTAAGGAGGAGGAGATGAGAGATTATTGTCAGTCGTGGACCCAGCTGAAGGGGACTGAAGAAAACAGAACAAGACAGAGATGAATTGTTGAAGTCTTATGTTCCACTCAGAACCCGAGGGAATGATAATAATAATAATAATAATAATAATAATAATAATAAATAGACTCGAAGAAAAGATATAGAACGACAGACGATTTAGTGAAAAGTATATACGTAGGATTATCAATAAAGCAGGAATTAGGGTGGCATTCAAACCAACAAACTCACTCAGGTAGTACAAACTCTGTAGGCTAAAGGACCCGATGGACCCAATTAAACAAAGTAATATAATTTACAAAATACCTTGCAATGACTGTGAGTTGAGTCAACTACGTAGGTCACACTAGTAGATCGGGTCAGTAGTCAGGTTATCAGAACATAAGAATTTAGCTAAGGTTACAATGATTGATCCCACGAAGATAATTAATTTAGAAAAAGAAAACTCAGCTATTGCACTGTATGCATTAATACACAACCACACAATAGGGTGGGTGGGAGAGGGTTAAAATTCTAAAAAGTAATCTAGGTAGGTGGGTGGAGAGAGAGATTGATTACTGAATCCTGCCTGACTCATCGAGTCTACACCCAACACACTCAACAGAAATGACTCTATGCAAATACCAGAAATATGCATGGAAGATATTATTACCACCAGACAGTCATATCAGAGGAGGATAATAAATAATCTCCATATCCTATTTCAATTCAAGCACATTATAACATTCTAACAAGTTCCTTATTTTGACTATAAAAACACTCGTCTTATTTCCCATCTCATTGTATTTGATTGATAACACTTATATTATTATTTCTGAATGTACATTATCACATATTGATTTTTATACAAATATCTAGTCAATTCCACACATGTATATAAATGAAGCAAAAAAGTTGTGTGAGTCAGTACTTTGATATGATTATGAGGAATAATTTGTGCTCGAAACGTGTTCATCAGTTAATATTACTGCATAACACTGTGTGATTTATCAAAATAAAATCTTATCTATATAATGGAGTTATACGTCAAAATATTTGATTATTTGTGTTATATTATTGTTGTTATCACTCATTCTCCTTACATAAAGCTTCCTTCGCCTTCCCATCTTCATTACACTAGGGGCTTCTTGTGATCACTTTTAACTATCTCCACGACTCCTTCCCCTCCCCGCCCCCAATAAGCTATCATTTCTTCTTACCAATATGATCCTCTTCACCATATCACCTTTTGGATCTACACCCTACTCATTACAATCCTCTTCGGGTTCCACTTGATGGCCTAACATTTCATGTCACTTCAATATCACCTCAGTGTGTGTATCCAGTCCAGTCACGCCTATAAACCGGTACATTGCAGCAACATATACAGGAAACGGATCTATACCTAAGATTTGTTGATGACATCTTTATTGTCTGTGGAAGCAGATCAAAGGCCGAAGAAATGCTGATAAAATTCAACTCATGCCATCCAAATCTCAATTTCACAGTAGAACACGAGGAAAACGATACTATTAAATACCTAGACGTTTTTCGGGCGAAAATGAATGATGGCACAGTCGAAAGTTCTATATTTGGAAAATCTTCATGGATAGGACAGTATATGCATTTCAAGAGCTTTGTTCCAATCCAGTATAAAAAGAACTTAGTCAGAACACTGTTCAATAGAGCACGAAAAATTTGTTCTGACAGTACTGTTGAGCATGAAATAAAATCTCTGAAGGATATCTTATCTAAGAATGGATATCCTGAGAAGTTCATTAATAAATACTCTAAAGAAAACACCCGCTGCAAAACAATCCAAACAGTTCCGAAGAAACCTGTCTATATCAGTTTTCCATTCAAAGGAAATGATGTACAGGAAGTAGTCAAACGAAGACTCGACAAAGCCATCAAGAGAACTTATTATGCTGCAAAACTTGTTTTCCTTACCACCACTAAGCAAGTGCTTCAACAATCTGGGAAAGACCAGTCGCCAATCCTCGACACTTCAAACTGTGTATATCAATTTGAGTATGTTTGTGGAAGCAATTACATAGGTCGTACGGAAAGGAGATTGTCTACTCGCATGATGGAGCATTTGCCAAAATGGTTGAAAACAGCTGAGTGCAAAGTGCCAAAATCCTCAATAACAAAACATCTTGTGGATTACGGACATGATATCAACGCGGTCAAGTCATTCACTATTATCAGCAGACAAAGAAACAAGAAGATGCTTGCAATTGCAGGGGCTTGTGCAATTCGAGTTTATAAACCAGGTCTCTGTGTACAAAAGGAGATGGTCATCACTCTGAATCTACCATGGTAATACGTTTGTACTTATTATTCTACCTCTTATTATTATTGTAATTATTATCATTATCATTATTCTTGATTCATTTAAAACTATCCTTTAACAGTAGGATTATCTTAACTCACTTCAACACTACTTTTATTGTTACTATAACTATTCGGTCGTTCGGTTTTCGACATAGAACTTTGCACATATGTGCAGCAGTTCAAGTCGCCACACTCCACTCCATGTAGCACACAAAGCAAGAGAAGAAAGTAGGAGAAATGCATAATATAGACAGTAAACAGAGGTGTGAGACAAAGTTATAGTAATAACGAAGAACGAACACCATTGATGACTGCAATTCTTGGCTATATTCGATAACGTTTTGAGCCACACCGATTTGACCTATCTCTCGGACACCAAACATGGAGTTGTAATGCACCAACCAACGCTAATCTAACACAAATATCCTGAATCCCACGACGCCATGTCATGGGTTTTCTATCCAGATCCAGGGCTAGCGAACAAAGACCGATACGGAAGCCTCTGGGATGACGTTCGTAGCACATGTCTAAGCCACCAAAGCCAGTGTTTCCAGATGACGACATGCAATCAACGGTTACCTCTACTGTGTCCAGACACATTCTGCGGGACCTCAGAATTACTCACACGATGATGTCATCGAAGACAGTGGTGACCACCACATGAGCACAGACGCCAGGTTTAGCAGGCGTAGAGCAAGACAGTATTCACTGTAAAGCACTGTAAATCCAACCTTGACAGCGCCAGAGCTGGCTCAAGTTGACGTACGCCACCCTAGCTTTCATGATACGGTTGGAGTTCTCGTCCACAATATCTCCACCAACATTCCCACAAATATTCGGATACACGAACTTATCGACAACTTCAAGTGGTTCACCTGCAGAAGTAGTGACTGCAAAGACAGACTCCTACCAATCTTGTTACAGTACTTTGCACTTAGACGGTGCAAAAACCACATATCACACATCAAATTGAAGATGTTTTAAGATGCCATCCCCATTCATGACATTCATAGAAATAAAAATTTTTTAAAAAAACAACACATAGAACTAAGTTTCAGATGAAACAAAAAAAACATACACACTTACAGCAGATAAACGATCACCTTTAATACTTCCATAACGCTTTATCATATATCTCAGTCGGCGTTCATTCCAATCTTCAATGGTAGTTTCACGTGAATTGAATCCAAAAAAGGTCAATGAACCATCTATCACTGAATTTATGCGTCTAAAATCAGAGAGGGTTAATATGTGTATGTCATACAAAATACATTTCAGTAAAATTACCCAATTATATTATGACGTAATAGGGAAAAAATCAATATGTGATAAGAAAAAAAAATAGACGAAAAAACTTCAAATCAAAATACCTTGAAACACCACTTCTTGATCCTCCATTTTTACTAGAACTACCAGGATTTGTACATGACATGGTTGGAGTTATCAACTGAGATCTACAAGAAAACAATATAAAATATTTGAATAAAAATGTCAGTTAGAGCACAGTGTCACTCAGGAAGTCAGAATAATAATATTATTATTATATTATTGTTTCTTTTAATTCCTAGAGGAACATAGGGCTTCAGCCGTGCGTCTCCATTGCGTTCGGTTCTCTGCCACCGTTTTCACATGGCTCCAAGTCTGCCCACACGCTTTCATCTCCTCTTCACATGACCTCCTCCAAGTCACCCTACCCTCACACTGACGACCAACAACACGCCACTTCCCTTTCTGGTTCCACTCGAGCAATGGCTTGTCTAGTGATGTCACTTGATGATTTCCTCAGAGTATGGCCAATCCATCTCCATTTCTTCCCGCCTATTTGTTTCACAATCGGTTCCTGGTTGGTTCGCTCCCAGAGATCCCTATTGCTGATCTTTTCTGGCCGGCTATCTGATCTTGAGTATTGAGCGAAGACAACTGTTGATGAAGGTCTGTAGTTTGTTTGAGATGCTCTTTATTACGCGCAGTGCAAGTCTTTGATCCGTATACTAGCACTGACTGACTTCACATTGGAGTTGAAAATCCGGATCTTATTCTCCTTTGCATGCTGAGTGCTGTTGACCTCCACACAGACTTGAGAGTAGTGAAAGCTTGTCTTGCTTTTCCGATTCTTGCTTTGATATCCTCGTCAGTTCCGCCTGTAGTTGAAACGATGCTTCCCAGGTAGGTAAAAGAAGTTGTTTCTTTCAGGTTCCTTCCATTTATGCTGATCGTTGTCTGTTGTTGTTGTTCTTGTCCAGGAATCTTCATCACCTCTGTTTTCTCTATGTTCACCTGAAGTCCTATCTTTGATGCTTCTTCTTCTGCCAAATTGTTGCTTTTCGCTTGCATATCTTCCAGTTTGTGGGAAATCAGACATATATCATCGGCGAAGTCCATATCCTCCAAGTCTCTTTTTGTGTGAGTCTATTTTATGCCTGTTTCCTCACTGACCACTGTTTGTCGCATTATCCAGTTTACTGCAATCAGGAATATCAAGAATAATAATAACAATCTGTCTGTCTGTCTGTTTTCGACATAGAACTTTGCACATATTTGCAGCAGTTCAAGTCGCCACACTCCATTCCATGTAGCACACAAAGCAAGAGAAGAAAGTAGAAGAAATGCATAATATAGACAGTAAATAGAGGTATGAGACAAAGGAATAGTAATAACGGAGAACAAAAGTTTAATTGGAAATCATAAGTCACAAGGAGTGGATGCATCTGCGCCACTGAGAACGATTTTGAGCCATGTCACCAATTGTTTCCAACCATTGGTTTTTACCATCCAGAGGACCCCAACCAGGAAGTCTACATCTCCCTACGTGGCTTAGACTAACTGTTGTGGATTTCATTGATTGGTGCCATGTTTTCGTTTGACCGCCGCTAGCTCTTTTCCAGCCTGGCCCTATATCAGCTAACATTGCCCGTCGAGGAAGGCGATGACTAGGCATACGTAACACATGTCCTAACCATCTCAGTCGAAGTAATTTCACAGTCTCGTCGATTGATTTCCCCTCCTTACCTAGCACTCGACTAATGGTCTAACCTCAATATTGCTCACCTTATTATACCACTTCACGCGGGAGATGGAACGCAGACACCTATGATCGAAGACAGCTAATCTGTTCATGTCTTCTGCTCTCAATGGCCAGGTCTCACAGCCATAAAGGAGGACGGACAAACAAATATGGAATTTTCGGCATGTAGTACAGTGCAGTATTGCATTTAACTTTCTCATTTTATGGGTGATAAATAAAACAGGACATTTACATTAACAATAACTTTCAATAGGAGTCTGAATATAAAATTAAATTAAGTGAAAATATTAACAACAATATAATAATGAAAAAGGACCCTTCACTTGGTGCTTCTCATTAAGTTAGTAGTCCCATGCCGCGATTGGTTCTTACCGTCTTGAAAACTCCAACCAGGAAGCCAGTCTACACCTTCCTACTTGTCTGGCTTAAACTAACTGTTGTGGATTTCATTGACTGATGAAGCCATGTTTTGGTTTGACCACCACTGGCTTTCTCTTTTCCAACCTGACCCTATATCAGCTAACATTGCCCGTAGAGGAAGGCGATGACTAGGCAGCCGTGCGTAACACATGTCCTAGCCATCTCAATCGATGCAGATTCTCCACATTCTCGTTGATTGATTTCCCCTCCCTCAACGCCTAACCTCAATATTGCTCACCTTAATATACTACCTTACACGGGAGATAGAACTCAGACACCTATGATCAAAGACAAATAGTCTTTGCATGTCTTCCACTCCCAATGGCTATATCTCACAGCCAGCTATGAAGGAGGACGGAGCGGACTGCTGAACAATACACCCGCCCTTTGGTAGACAACCAGCCAGCCGGGTATCATGTCTACTTAGCCAGAGACGGCGTAAACAAGCATATGCGAAACTAGCCTTCTGTATCTGTGCTGAGATTCCGTCCGTGATCAACCCATTTGGAGCTGGCTGATGCAACTTCCCGAATAAGCGAAGCGGTCAACGTGCTCTACCACTTCACTCCCTATTTCTAAGCTAGGAGTCAATGTAGTCCAGTCCTGTAGCATTTGGCGGGAGCGAATCGCATGCCAAACATTCACAGATTGCAACTCAAGGTGTTTCAGAAGACTTTGTATCTTGTCAGCGTCTTGACCTCGGAGGGAGGACTATATAATTTGCATATCCCAAGTCAACGAGACTAGTATTCCGTGGTAGCAAGTCGATCCCTGAGTCGCTGAAGTGAATTAGGGTTAAGTCCATTAGTACATCTATGATGAAAATGAATAGAAATGGGGATAGTGGGCATCCCTGACTGGACACCACTAGTTGTCACCACTTCATAGAGAAGGACGGGACCGTCCTTAAGGTATAATGTTGACGTTAGGCGTAGTGTTGCGCAAAGAGGGAAAATCAATCCAAGAGGCTATAAAGTTACATAGATTGAGATGGCTAGGTGACGTGCTGCGCATGCCTAACCATTGCCTCCCCCGACGGACGAGCATTACTAGCTGATATAGGTGCAGGTTGGAAAAGAGTAAGTGGTGGCCAAACAAAAACATGGCCTCATCAATCCATGAAATCCTTGACAGTTAAACTGAGTCAGGTAGGGAGATGCAGACTTCCGAGTTGGGGTCCTCGGGACTCTAAGAATCAATGGCTGGAGACAATAGGTGACATGGCTCAAAATCGTTGTCAATGGCTTACGCAGATGTATTCAGTCTCTGTAATCTTTCATATTCCTTTCTACCACCATTACTCATTCATTCTGTCTCACTCTTATACTTGTCAAAACTCTATTGATTCTCTTTACTCATTTTCTTGTCTACCTTTGTGTGCTATTTGGAACGTGGCAACTCGAACTGCTGCACTTCGGTGCTAAGTTCTATGTTGAAACCAGCCAGCCAGTCACCACTTCAGATGACAACTCGCCGTAAGCTCTCAACTGGCTGGCTGCATGAGTTCGGGTAGAGTGAGTGCCTTGATCAGTGCAATGTATATTTTCGGCATCCCTTTTACAACCAAGCACTGCCAAAGTACCTCTCGGCCGACAGAATCGAATGCCGCTTTTAGGTCAAGAAATATGACGATTTTGGACGCCGACGGTAAGTATGGCTGTGTTCCAGAATCTGTCGAAGGATGAAGGAAGATATGATCAATACATCCTCTTCCTGGTCTAAAGCCTGCCTGGTTCTCTCGTGTTTGTGCCTCCCGAGCACCACTTAGTCTACGCATGATTATTGAGTCTAAAACTTTAGATGCCATATTAGTCAAGCTAGTCCCCTTGTGATTATCACAAGAATTAACAAACTTAGAAAGTAGAGACTGAGGCTGATTGATACTGCATTGTCTTAACTTCCTCTCGTTGACTTAGAATATGCGGACGATATAGTCCTTCTAGGCGAGGACTCTGACAAAATGCAGAGTCTACTGAACACCCTGAGCAACAATCTCCGCATGTTTGGCATGCGATTCGCCCCTATAAAATGTAAGATGATGCTGCAGGATTGGACTTCATCGACCCCTAGATTAGAAATAGGATGTGAAGTGGTAGAACACGTTGACCGCTTCACTTACTTGGGAAGTACCATCAGCCCCAACGGGTTGATCTCCGACGAAATTTCAGCACGAATACAGAGGGCTAGGTTCGCATTCGCCAGTTTTCGCCGGCTCTGGCGTAGACGCGATATCCGACTATCGACCAAAGGGCGTGTGTACTGCTCAACAGTCCGCTCCGTCCTCCTTTATGGCTGTGAGACCTGGCCATTGAGAGCAGAAGACATGAAAAGATTAGCTGTCTTCGATCATAGGTGTCTGCGTTCCATCTCCCGCGTGAAGTGGTATAATAAGGTGAGCAATATTGAGGTTAGACGTCGAGTGCTAGGTAAGGAGGGGAAATCAATCGATGAGACTGTGAAATTACATCGACTGAGATGGTTGGGACATGTGTTACGTATGCCTAGTCATCGCCTTCCTCGACGGGGCAATGTTAGCTGATATAGGGTCAGGCTGGAAAAGAGCTAGCGGCGGTCAAACCAAAACATGGCACCAATCAATGAAATCCACAACAGTTAGTCTAAGCCACGTAGGAAGATGTAGACTTCCTGACTGGTTGGGGTCCTCGGGATGGTAAAAAACCAATGGTTGGAAACAATTGGTGACATGGCTCAAAATCGTTCTCAGTGGCGCAGATGCATCCACTCCTTGTGACTTATGATTTCCAATTAAACTTTTGTTCTCCGTTATTACTATTCCTTTGTCTCACACCTCTGTTTACTGTCTATATTATGCATTTCTTCTACTTTCTTCTCTTGCTTTGCGTGCTACATAGATTGTGGCGACTTGAACTGCCGCACATATGTGCAAAGTTCTATGTCGAAAACCGACCGACCGACCGAACTTCCTCACGTAGAATGTCAGATGAAATATCACCGTAAAGACTGACATAGTGTATGAAGACCAGGAAACATCGGCGAGAATACAGAGTACAAGGTATTCAACATTCAATTTAGTTTCAGTTGTTCCTGTGTCATTTATGATAATGGAACCGTGCGAACTAACTAACTAGTTCATGTAATTCATGCATGCTTACATCTGAAAGTGAAATTAACAACCACCTGACATATTGACTGCGGATTTAACTCAAGATCATTTTAAAACGACCACCAACTGAATAATTCCCAATAAAAAGTTACACATTTTGCAAACTGTGGATGAAGTTATCTCATTACTCCTAATGGACCCCTCCCCACTCCTAAAACTTATTTTCTGAAATGTAAATTCTACCCAATCACCCCCCCCGGATTTACGTTCAATGTTTTTCCGTTTATTTATTTACATTTACTTGTTAAAAGAAAAGATGTTTAGCAAAGAGTCACTCCTCTTTTCTGCGATACCGTTCTCAAACTATACAACAGATATGTATAAAGTAAATTCTCCTAGTGCGTCGGTGGCATAGCGGTTAGGGCGCTCGCCGATTATGCACAAGGTTCGGGGTTCGATCCCCGGCCGACGCACTCCTTTACCTCGCTAAA